TTGAGTAGAGCCAACTGCCGCCAAAAACGCTACTGTGTGTGCAACGCAACGGTGCAGGTGGTGGGCCGGAATTGGCTGTGGAGCACCAGCAGGCACCTACTAAGCAAGTACCTCAGCTGCTACGCACAGTGGCTTGGCCGGAGAAGTACTCCCGGAGCGTGCCAGCGAGTACATTAATTTGCAGGAGGCTGCCTACACCTAACCTCACCTAACAGGACTGTAAGCAGGTACCAGGGCTGGTGGTTGCAGCACCCAATCCAGCGAATACTACCACAGGCAGTCAGCAGCCAGCACAATACCACCCGCCATCGACCACGAGCTCATTGACGAGAGCAATGGCCATCCGTGGGGACAGCCCAAGTAAGCACTGTACGTGTATGCAGCGACTCGCCCCAGCCGACAGTCGGAACGCGCCAGCCAGACCCCAAGCGAAAGGCCCTACCGGAGGCCCTGGAAGGCAAAGCGGAGACACCCGCAGGCTCGGCGCAGCCCTGGAAAGGCACCGGGCCTATCAGTGCGCTCGGCACCAGAGCCTAATAATTCTTGTCATGAAACAGCCGCCTCGATGGCTAATCGATGGCTCTAGGACCTCGCGATCTCTGCGTTTCATTTCGCCCCTGCCGAGACGTCTTCAATCTGGCGCTTGTCTCCACGCCCGGATCTGTTTAAAAGAGGTAATACGGAAGAATCGACACGTTCCGGTCTCGCCAGTCGAAGCGAGCCAGCCCGCACTGTCGCTGATCCCACGCTACTTTACCCTCATCCGATTTCATGCCCGCCTCAGCTCAGCAAAGTGCCGTCCAATGTGATGTATCACAGCACCGTCGTCCCGATTAGGGTCGCCCATCTCTGTCTTGCCAACCTTGATGCTCCATCTCGGCCAACCCGCGTTATTCCCTCCCCATTACTTGCTTTTTGCGGCGCCCTTCAGCTCCTCTCCTCTCCTCTCCTCCCCTCCGCTCTCCACTCGCAGCTACCCACTCCCGCTCTCCGTCACCACTCATCACCATGGCCAGCATTCCCAAGCCATAGCGTCGCCCGATCAATCAGTCAAAACTCAAATTTGCACGTCAGCTTGCGCCCCGGAAGCGCTTAGTGGCGTTCCTCGGATAATGCCTCTTCTCTTCTCTCTTCTCCCCTCTCTCGCTTGCAACGAAAAGGGCTTGGTGCCTCTGCTCTGGTCTTGGGAGACGTCAGAAAGGGGGAACCTTTGCCCACCTACGAGTAGATGGCCCCATCTGCATGAGACTATTGATCCCAACCATGCTACGCTTAATTATATGAGTGGCAGCCAACTAGCCGTCGATCGCTGCTGGTCAGCATGGGGCTCACTCAGCGTCGATATCGAGCGCTGTAATCTGTGCATGGCCCATCCTCTGCCAGGGTTTTCCAACACTAAGATCCGTGGACGACGGCCATCGTGCTCTGTGTGGTATAGCCCATTCAATAAGATGCAATATTGATATAATTCTCCGAGGGTTCATGTTCATCGCCGCAAAAGTCTCGCAATTCGCGTTCGCACTACCTCGGGATGCCAAAAAACCTTCCTAGATGGTTCTTCGGCAACATGATTCAGCCTTGATCCATACTCAGCTGTCTACTCCGTACTAACAAACCCCACGCAGCTCCCACGAATCAGTACCTTTCCATTATCCATTTCTTCCTCGTCTCCCCATCCATATCCGTCAACAGCTTCAGCTCGGCCTCTTTGACGGCGACATACCTCTCCACCAGCTCCGCTCCAAGCTCGCCCACCAGCTCCCCATCACACCTGAGCTCGTCCAGCGCGTCCTCCAGGCTGCCCGGGAACCTTGTAACGATCCCGAGCGCATCCCGCTCGCTCTGCGTCAGCGCCGCCGGCGCCTTCGTGCCGCAGTCCCTCCACGCCAGCTCCCTCCTCTCCCTGTACCCCAACACCCCGGCCGAGACAATGGCCGCCAGCGCGAGGTACGGGTTCGCGATGCCGTCCATGCACTTGACCTCCCAGTGGCTGCCCCCAATCTTGCGGAGCGGTGTCTCACGGTTCTGCCCGCCCCATGAGATGTACGTCCCGCCCGCCCACACGCCGTCCACCAAGCGCTCGTAGCTCGCCACGCTGCTGTACGTGAACGCGGCGATGGCCCGCAGGTGGCCCAGCACCCCAGCGTAGAATGCCTCGTAGACCTCCGCCGGGACGTCCTCCTCCTCCTCCTCCGCCCTCTGCAGCGAGATGTGTACGTGCGCCGCCGTCCCGCACGCCGCGGCGAACGGCTTGGGGTGCAGCGTCATCCTGTATCCCGCCGCCGTCGCGTGGGAGGAGAGGACGTCCCTCGCGAAAAGCAGCGTGTCCACGGCCTGCAGTGCCGGCGCCTTGGGGAGGACGACCTCGTACTGGCCCGGCGCGCTCTCCGGGTGGACCATGTCGATGTAGATGCCCGCCTCATCGAGCGCCGCGACGGCCGGCTCGATCACCGTCGAGGCGGCTTCGTGGTCCATCGCCCGGGCGACGCTCCACGCGTGCCCGTGCTTGTCCAGTGGCTCGAGAGTATCTCCCTTTTCGCCCTGCTTCATGAGGACGAGCTCGATCTCGAAACCAAGTGTGAAGGTTAAGCCTTGGGCCTTTGCGGTCTCCAGGGCTTTTATAAGTGCCGTACGAGGGCAAAGAGCCACCGTGGAGCCATCGCTCTCTTTGAATACGCCTCGAGCGGAAAGATATCTCTTCTTCGGCCCAGCACGTAGTGTTCCGAGATCTGGATGCAGCCTGTATTCTCCAGAGGGTGACACCCCCTCGGCAGGCGTATCAAGCTGTGTTAGACCCAGGCCAGCTTTCGTAACACCGAACGATAGCTCCTCCCCGCTGGAAAGCATCGACAGCACCCGCCTGATGGGGACGGCTCGCATCCTAGCCGTTGCCGTCATGTCGGTCCAGTAAATCCCCAAGAACCTGGGTGGCTCATCCCCTTCCAGATGGCGCGAGAGCAGGGCGAGAGATCGCTCATTACCCCCATCGTCCAGCCCTGCCTCAGCAGAATCAGCCGTCTCCCTCCGCACCTCCTCAAGGCCCAGAGAGTACAGCTTATTAGAGTTGTTGTAGAACACATCCTCGGTGAGGCGAATCGCCTGCTCCAGCGTCAGGTCCCCCTTCTGCACGTAGTCCTGGAGCACCGCGTCCAGCACCTCGCGGACCTGCTCGACGGCGAGGAAGTACGTCTCGGGGAACCAGTGCCCGTCCGTGCTCCACAGGATCTTCTCGCTCGGGCAGAGCTCGAGGATCTGGCGGACGACCCCAGCCTGGCCGTCCCTGCTCAGAAAGGGGAAAACCTCCCCGATGTCCGCGTACGCATTCTTGTACATGGCCGCCAGGTACCCGAGCTCCCGTGTAAAGGGATACCCGGAGTGCAGCAGAACAAACGGCACGTCGGGGTACGCCTCGATGAACCGCTGCATGTGGGCCGGGGACGACTTCGTAAGCGTGATGTCGCTGTCTCCCAGACCCGTGTGAAACTGTATGGGCTTCCGGAACTGGCCCTGCCACCCCTGGATCGCGCTGGCCAGAGTGTGGACAATAAACTCGTTGAGACCCGGGTGGTCTATCCTCTTGAACGCCGCCGCCCCCGGCGCCGTCCTCTCCCTGTGAATCCCCTCAAACACCCGCAGAGCCGTCTCCTCGTCGGCATCTCGCGGGATGGCCAGCCCCGTGCGGTAGCAGATGACCGACTTGAACCCCACGACCTCGCGGTCCCGCAGGGCGTCGTCAATGTAGTCCCTCAGCCGCTGGACGAACCGCCCCCACGCGGCGGCACCGTCACCCCCGAACTCGGCACAGGCCTCCTCGACGAACCCGGGCACCACGAACTCGATCCGGACAATCCTCTTGCTGGAGCCCGGCGTGACCCCGTCAAAGAAATCGTACGGCAGCGCGTCGGTCCCATCCAGCCCGTCATCCACGAGCACGGTGTGGATCCCCCGCAGGCACCGCCTCGTCCAGCCCTCCCTGTCGCCCTCCCACCTGGCCGCGATGGCGCCGCGCACGGCGTCCCAGGCGGGCTCGCACCCGAGGACGCGCGAGAGCTGGTTCACGGCCCGGATGTGGGCGAGCGACGAGAAGGTGGAGTCCAGGGCGTCGCCCGAGGCCTCGGTCGCGATGGCCAGCAGCGGGTGCTTGGCCCTGGCGGACGGCCTCAGCAGCGGATGGGCGTGGTTGTCAATGATGGGCGTCTCGTGGACGCACCGCGTGAGAGCCTTGCTCCTGGCCCCCGCAGCTACCATTTTCGCGGGAGCGTATTGCTTCTAGCTATCGTGGCTGTGTGATGTTGCAGGAGGAATTTGTGGGGGGCAGATAATAGGTCGGTTGCAGGAGGAAGAGGATCGCCCAGGCCGCCAGTCATGGTACATTAGGACGAGCCTTTTGCATCCATCCATTTACATGTAGAGCATCTTGGTTGCCGCGCGCCCTGCATTAGGCTGGGCCCCTGTCCAAGACATACAGATAAGATTAAGGCGGTGAAATCATTGGCAAACCCCAATTGTGGACTGCGATTACGAGCCACCGAGGTGATATGACACAAGATTCTGCGCCTAATGCGTACTTGTTATACTATCACATTGCAATCTCTCTTCCGATGGGCAACCCACTGACCAATCACTTTCTTTTCTTGCAGCTGCAATTCGCCTTGGGCTTAGATCACAGGGAGCAGATGGCCTTTGGAGATCATCAGAAAAAGTGTGCGCATATCAGATTAACGATGACGGCTAGTATAAGTTCGGTAACAGGTATAATAAGTCTTCAATGTAGAAGAAGGGAAGCAAACATCAAAGTTCCACCATGCCATGAGAACCAACAATCAGTAGAGTTTATATACATGACCAAGAAAGAGACAAGGAACAGATGTGAAGCAAGGCAAAAAAGAGAGAGAGAGAATATTCAACAACAAATTACATGGCCTCGTAGTGAATTCGTTCAATCCTTCAAGATTTGTATAACCAGAAAATCATCACTCAAACGGCTTCCAAATCCATATTTAATACATAGGCTTCTTCCGGCGTCCAAACATTTTTGAGAAACTACCCCCTGCCTCTTCGACCGGCGCTTCCCGCGTAGGAGAAGAGGTCATTGATGGGGGTGGCTCGGAATCGCGCAGGAATGCAGCCAGGTCTGCAGTGCCTGATCTGTCCACGCTGGAAACGGCCTCACGGGGCTCGAACCTTTTCATCGGAATCCTACCTCCAGATCGTGACGAAGCAGGCGTGACACGGGGTTGGCCGGCGGTGCTCTCGTAGCCCGGATTAGAATCGTATCCAGGAGGGATGTGCACCTGGATTGGAACGTGGCCGAATCGCCGTCCGCCGGAAGGTGTTCCGGCACGGCTGTTGAGAGACCTCGATTCTTGCACCTTCTGTCCGTATGCTGGTCCGTTCGTTCCATGCGTCTCCTTTGGCTCCTTGTGGCTTCGAGTGAAGCGACCCATCAAGCTTGGAGCGCTGGCCTTCTTCTTGGGCAACTTTTCGGAGACCGGTGGAGCCATGGGCTCTGGCGGAGGCTCGTAGTTTCGCAAGAATTCTGCAAGCGACTCCTCCTTCTTTTTGGGTGGAGGCTTTGGTGTAACAAGATCATCAAGATCGTCATCTTCATCACTAAAATCGATGGCGTAGGGATCCCTAACCCGCCGCCTCGTCCGCTTTGGCATGCCATCATCATCAAACATCTTAGGTGGAGGTTGAGGCTTGTTGTTCTTCAGAAGAGCCGTGTTAGAGTTCACTGACGAATGGAATGAAGGTCCAGAATTTTCAGTGGCATTGGTAGACGCTTGGCTGTGACGAACCTCTGTGATGCCGTGTTCACCGGCCCTTCCACCACTTGCGACAGCTGTATGATCAGGGGTTGCGGTGCTGGAGAAAGGTGCGACATGGCGAGGGATGCGATTGTTTCCGCCAGGGCCTGGGGGTCCTTGACGAATGAAGTCAATCAGATCCGAATTGTCTCCATTTCCATCAACCGAAGCCTCACGTGGCTGATATCGGTTGCGATTGCTCGCTGACGATACCCGGCGAGCCTCGTTGCCCCTGGATGGGCTTGACGTGACAGGTAATGGCGTGGCGCCACCGACCTGTCCGGGAAACACACCGTTGGAAGCACGAGCTGGCGACGCGCGAGCGTCTCCTCCGGCAGGGCCTGTAGACTTGATGAACTCAGCAAAGTCCGCGGTGGAATCCCCAGGGACGCGGGCTTCTCTTGCAAGCGAGGCCGGCATACGAGGCGACTTGGGCGTAATGGTAGCGGGAGACATAGGTTGCGAAGAGCCAGCAGAAGCCCCCGTTCTGAGAGGAGACTTCACTGAAGAAGACTTGGGAGCGGATGCAGCTGAAGGGCCAGGAATGGAAATCGGGGTTGGCTTCTGCGTCCTGGAGTCGGCAGAGATTCCAATCACTCGCTGAGCAGATGCTACCTTACCGTCGTTGACCAATGATCCAGAGCGAGGCATCTCTGTAGAACGGTTTGACTATGACTCGGTTAGCGGATTTCCATAAGTGAGCTCATATGCACCAGACTTACATCCATATTGCGCATGTGCTCTGGGGTGAGGGTGTATGTGATGGTCTGGTTGCTGTGAATCAATTCCTCAAAGTTTCGCGCAACGCTGTCGGCACGGCTGGGAACCTGTTCTTCGGAAGTCCTGAAGGCCTTGTGGCGTCCAGCAGCTGAGGAACTAGATGAGCCAGACGTATGAGTTGATCGATGATGGCCATTTGACTGAATGGGTAATGAGGATCCATCATCGGACTCTCGCGTTCTCGTACGCTCCATAGATGCCTGTCCGATACTATTCGACTTAGAGCCTTGGCGAGCTGAGTGACCGGTTGCTCTGGACGGCACCTCAGGAATGGGTTCGTTGATGAAGTGGTTACTAGAATGCGAGCTACTCAGGATGGAGACCTTGGTCCCTGAAGTCGTCTGAGGTTGCCTGGGCAGAGAGGACCCTCTACTTGGCTGCATTGCAGGCGCTCGGGCTGAGGAACGAGGGCTGCTCTCGGTTGCTACTTGGCCATGGGTGGTGGTCGCAGCACCGATCTCATAAGGCTTGTCCGCCGGCATCGAGTACTCGTTCACCTTCTCCTGCCTCTGAGCAGAAGTCGTGGCGCTCTTTGTTGCGACAAAGGGGTCCGATCTTCCAGTCTCCAAAGGACTCACGGGAGCGTGGTTATATGCGCTGTCAGGCTGGTGGGTTAGATCGCTCTGGGGGCTGGGGTAATCGGTTGGTGAGGGACTATTGGTATGCACTGGGTCGGCAGCTTCCAAAGGTACAGCCTGAAACTCATGCGGACTGGCCGATCCTGCCACGTCAGTGATGCGTGCGGAACAGATCCCTTCAGTGACCAAGCCGGAGTCAGGGGCCGTAGAAATATCTTCGGCATTCTTGTTCTCGTCAGGATTTGATGTTGAAAGGGCAGCCTGTTCATCCTTTGTTTGTGAAGGGACAGAGGCCGGCAACTCAGCAGGCTCCACTTTGGCCACGTCCCCAGCACTCTTTTCATCCTTTCCTGCTTGTTCTTCATCCGACTTTGTTTGTGACTGTTCTTCAGACTTCTTCTGAGCGCGTGTTCGGCGCACAGGAAGTCGGATTGGCCAAGATCGAGACAAAGAGGCAGATCGAGCGAGTTCCGTGTGGGATTCCGCGGTAGAAGAGAACACCAAACTTCTGGGTCGTCGAATTGCGAGCTCGACATCCTCTTCATCATCCTCATCATCGCTGTGGACAGCGACGCCAGGAACCTCGATCTCTTCCACGTCGTTGTCCCCAGCCGGGAGGGGGATATCGGCTGGCTCAGGAGGCGGCTGCGCCTCCTCTTTCACCTCTTCCTCGACTAGCTCCTGGCTTGGTTTGGTTTCAATTCCCATCTCACTCCCAGGGGATCTGAGAGGGTTTACATCGCTACCATTTCTGGTGTGGTCAATCGATGTCCTAGAGAAGGGTCGGTTGCCGAATTCTATGACAGCCGGGGCCCTGATTCTCTTCTTCCAGCCCCTCCAGAGTCGGCCGAGAGTTCGGTCCAGAGCGACACGCTCCATATCAGACTCCTCGACTACAATGCGATCCGCAATGTCTGAGGGAGTCTTGAGGCCCTCTTTGATTTCCTTCTCGAACTCGGCGCGCACGCGATGGTACGCGGCCTGACCGGCAACGGTCAGAGTCAGCTCGCCCATATATTCAAGCACTGAGGTCAAAAAGATGGCGACAGCCGGGGAAATGACGTCCGAAATCTGTTCATCGGCGCCAATTTCGAGGTGCTCCTGCTCCATGTACATGTCTTCATCCTCCTCCTCCATATCTCCCAATGAGGAGTATACCATAGAACGCAGACGCGTTCGTTTCCAAACGAGCTCGAGATCCCAATCCCGGGAAGGATCTCCGTTCTGAGGCTTGACGTAGTCTTCCTCATCAGCACCTCCGAGGTACTCACGCAACTCCTCGTCCGCATTGGTGATGGCATCCCTAGCAAGTTTTGGCTTAAGAACCTCGGTGACGGCCGGTCGCAGGGCAGACAGAGTGGTGGACTTGGCAATCTGGAGGAAATTGAAGAGAAGCTGGTCGAGAAAGTTGTTGACCAACCGCAGAGCTCCATCAGAAACCAAGGCAGTCTCGCCTGCCGGTATCATTCCAGGCTCGTCATACCAGACGTCGGCGTGGCTGTCGTGGTCGTTGGTGACGATCTGGGAGGCCGCCGAGGCGGCGATGAAGGCAGATTCAGGAGAAACCGACTGTGGAGGGGCCAGGAGGTTTCGCCCAATTGACGAAGGCCGGTCGCTGGATATACTCTGAGTCCTAGATCTTACATGTCGCGGTGATACAACTGCGGGAGCCCGGACGGAGGGCCCATCGTAGTGAATGCCAGCCATGATTTTGCGCCGCGTGCATGAAATCAGGACCTAGCACTCACTGGACTGGACGGGTAAAGAGAGGCGCAGAGGCGATGTAACGGTCGCGGGCGGAGAAAAAGGCCAGTCGAGCGATCGATGTTTTGGACAGAGGAGGGAAATGCAACGAGAAGGATTGAGAGGTAGCGGTATTACGCGGTCGTGGGTTAGGTTATATTATTCTAGAACTGATCAGTAACATGTCCGGGTGGGAAAACAATCACGGGCTTGGGTGAGGGGGGTCCCCGGGTAGCATGCGCTGAGGCCTGAGAGCAGATCGAGTGTGGTTACGAACCAACCTGAGGGTGGTTTGCCCAAGGCATGGATCCGTGGCCCACGAGGAAATGCAGTCTCTGGCGCAGAGGCTTGACGGATTGCGCAGTGTGGTTTCGGATGCCAAACAGAGATGAGGCAAGGAAGTGAGAACAACGGGGGTGACAAACCGGAATGGGCGAATAATTCGGTCGGCCGAAGCCACAATTAAGGAGGGTCAAGGCGGCGTCTATGGACGTAACGAGGGAAAGGGGTGGTGGAACAACAACAAGAATAAGGATATAGAGCAGCGACCAGAGACAAGAAACAAACGCGATGGCAAGTCAAAGGGCGAAGCAGCAGATGCCCATGATGCGTGGCGCGACAATTCCCAGCAGATGGAAGTGGGAGATAACTTTGTGTAGATTTCTGTCCCCCAAGCGACTCGGGGGTTGGAGGACCGTCCAGTCCTGGCTGGTCAGGTCTGGGGACGACTGGAAGACGGCCATGCACGGAAACGGCCTAGCCAACCAGTTAGCCAGGCCATGTCAGGGGTTGGGTGGGCGCTGTGGACGGTGCGGTCCCACTGTAATAGCCTGTCGTTGTAGGCAGTACTTCCGAATGGGCGTCGAAGGTGCCCGCCCAACCAGCGGCCACAACGCTGGACCCGCTGTTTGTCTGTTGTGGGCTTCTGGGCTTCTGGGGTGGTGGCACTGTGGAGCGGTCCTGCGGATAGCCTTACTAGCGCACTGATGATGCCAGCGAAGGCATCCACAGGCCGTTCCGTTCCTGGCCAAGCCTTTAAGATGAAGCCCATCGTCATGGACACGGCCCTGGAGTCGCCCAGGAGCAAGCACGGCACGGTACTTGTCCATCCAGCAGCAGATGCGATCCCATCCCCCCATGCCTCCCCCAAAGAACAGGAGGCTCAGCTCGTGGCATGAGGCGGACGCTGAGGTGAACCCGCGCAAGCCATAATCACAATCCTGATGCATGTATCTCAAAAGGGCAGTGCTGCACGTAGCATGGATGATCATCCGTCATCCATTCTACATCCACCCACGAAGTGCGCGCCTGGCTTTGGACCGCCTCAGGGCTCAACTTGGGCCGCGACCCAGATCCATGCATTGGGCGTCCTCTCGAGATTGCAGGCAGTACCGGGACCATTCACGGCAACAATTGGGAGTGAGAAACGGCGCAAAGGCGTACACGCGAAGATACGGCTGTTGAGGCATGAACAAGCTGTCGCCTCTGCAGTATGCATGTCCCTCCAATTAGATGCCTCTGTCATGATGCCGATGCTTATTTTTATCCCTTGCCCTGCAGATGTCAAATTACACGGTGGGCTGCTTTCTTTTTTCCTCCCTCCATCTTACCGCGCACATGGACATGTGTATTCATTATTCATCAGAAGCAACCCTCATACTGCGCAGCACAGACCTACTGCAGACGGGATGCAGGCATAACGCAGGCGCCGAGGTCCCTTCACTTCATAGGGTAGGTACATAATGTATGTAGGGCCGACCCCCAGGCTGGCAGTAAGCAGAGAAATAACAGGGTGTCAAACAGGCTTTGGCGACGGTCCGAAGGTAAGATCATTCTGCATCTATAGAACATAACATGACAGCAGCTGGAGCCTCCGCGCAGTGTGATGCAATACTCCAGCATTTCCATGGCAGGACGACCATCGTATCACGCAGACGCGCAGAACTGGGGTAGGTGAGAGGTACTTTAGTCGTCCAGAAATCCTATATACGTGTATACGAGTAGACAGACGGTCTAGATCACGAAGTGTCTGACATGAAGGCATCTGCATGCAGATACGTCTGCAGGTGCGCCGGTTAGCAAGAGCAAAAATAAAACCATCTCAATGCAAAGGCGAGGCAAGTGGCAAGTAACCTTATTCATATCCCCGGTGGCGCTCAGCGATACATAGTACCACTTTAGCATTTACGACGCATCGCTAAAAGGGGAAAAACAGACCAATGGCTCGAGCTTTGCGGATCAAACAGGGACCACCAGGCCCAAACGATCCTTGAGCGTAGTTCCGTTTCAGACCTATTACTGCGAGATGAAGATGAGGGGGCGGTCCGAATGGGCTTGGCTGGATCCACGGCACATATACGCAGACAGGCAACCTTACGCAAATCACACCTCCAGGCCGCGTTGGACAAAAACGTGGGATCCTTTGGAGGCTCGCGCCTGGTGCGCCCAAACCGCATGTAGGCAATCGTGGCAGCTGCCCGCGACGCAGTCAGCCGGATCATTCAGCCCGCGGACCAGTCTCCTTCCTATTTACTGCGTGCCGTTGATGGGGCGGTAGTAATAACAGTGCCGGTGCTATTACTACTGCCATGGGCCCGTGCTCGGTACTTTTCTGCACTCATCTCATCTCATCTCATGTTGGTGATTACGGACGGTATATCGTCCTATCTGGACGGGCGAGTGCTCCCTCCTCCGCTGCTCCTGTCGAGCTACTGTGCGTTAGGCGACAGATAGCGGCGTGCCAGCTGGTGCACGACTCGCCGCGACGCTACTATACATTAGCTTCAGGGAAAACGTGGCCTGGGAGGGACGCATCCATTCCATTGCCATCACGGCTCTAACTCGCCTCAAGGCCGGGCAGCGGGGCCATCCCTCCATCCCGTCTGTCTGCTAGAGCTGTCCTATCAGCCGGACCTGACTCAGGTAAGTTTCCAGGAGCATCGCCGAGCCAATCGCCATCATGCTCTCATTGGATGAGCACTGCCGTGAGAAGGACGGCCAACCAGGGACCAGCCGTGTCAATCAGTCAGTACTAGCCACCAGGCCTCACTCGGACAGGCATGCGAGCAGCTTCCTTCACCCCGAGCGTCTGGCCCAGGTAAGTAAGTCAGCGATTTTCAGATCTGCTCCCATGTTGATTTGCCGGAAATCGATCGGAAGCAATGCATATTTCCATCGGCCTCTCAGGTCCTCCATGCAGTTAGGCCGCCCAGCATCCATTTGCTGTAAATGGTCTTTTTAAGATTGCTGCCGGCAGCACACTTCCTCCAGGAACCACGGCAGGCCTTGCTACGGGATGCAGCTGGTGGACACCCTGGACGCAGGCAATCTCTTCTAGCAAGCCATTCGACGAACCCATCCACCAGGTGGTGCCACCAGCAGCCACCGTCCACACTAAGATGGCCAAGCCCTTTTGGGCTTTGACTGATCTACCCTCCTGAGCCTCGCCTTGCTCAGACGAGCTAGACTAGGTATAGGCCAGCGGACCTACTAGCCTCCCATAGTCATCACCTACGTCTCTCCACAGGAACAGTCGTACAGCAACACGCTGCTTGTTCTCGCTATGTATGTGCTCTGGCGCCATCAGTGGCTAGCCACCCCGTCGCTGTCACGAGAGGGCCTACCTCACCAATCACCTACATGGTTCATCGGGCCATTGCACACACAAGGGAGCTGCGTCCTGGATTGCCGCGAAGCTTGAATGTCCTATGTCTATGGGCCATCGATGCCGGCAGGTACCCGTGTTGATAACGACACAGCCTCGCTCTGATTTGTGGTACTGCTTCTGGCGTTTACCAATGCCTTCCACCGACGTTTCCATATTGAATACAAACTAGTAAAGCATTGGCATGTACCTCTCCGCACTTTTCGATACCACATGCTATTCCTTGGCGGTTCCTGATGCGATGTAGTTGAGACTAGGTATGGTCACAGTCACATGTGGTCATACCCGTGGTGATAGGGCTGACAAACTACTGTATATTGTCAGACAACTGGATGGAATCAGAAGGTAATTGAAGGTAGTCCCATCTCCGGTCCACGGGGGCCGCGTGTACTAGGAGAATATAGACACTACTAGGTAGCAACCACGCATCGGACGAAAGCCACTGCCAGCTACTGGTGTCACACTACCACGGGATTCTGTCTAATGCAACTGGAAAATGTTTGCTTGCTGATGCAATGCGAGTCATAAGAGGTATGGTTGGTTTCCGCTTTGCAAGGCTTGGGTCATGGGCCATCAACGACGTATCACGAGAGTTGCACAAGCCCACACTTCCAACCGCCTCACTTACAGTAAATCCTCCCAGACGCAGGCAACCCTTCGCCAGAAAAAGCCTGGAGACTAACATATGTGTCGCTGGCGAATCAGTTCACAGCGTTCCGGCATACCTTGGAGGCAACCTCCCACTACAGCTACACTACAGCTACCCAGTACGACACACCCAGCCACGTACCATACCAACGAAACAAGAAGGATGTAGATACTGGATGTCACACGGAACATGACTATTCCCCCACAAGGCGCGGAACCAGTGCCTGATGACAGCTTCCAGAACACATCCAAAGACACCACCGTTGCACAAGACACACCGACGGCTCTATACCTAAACACGAAAGCAGCCCAACCTGAAGAACTTCGCGCAAATGAGCCACGCTCATAAATACCCAGTTGCTCGGACATGCTCAATCACAAGACGTAGCTTTCCTTGGTGGCTCTCCATCTCATGCCCTTGGCTGTAGCACAAGACACATAATAAAAAAGATTGTTGTCACTCGTTATTGTACTTATTGTGTCAAGTAAAGAATACCAAGCTATTATTACTTTTTTTTCCAGGATGCCCAGACTGAGGTTTGCCAAAAGTTCCACGCATCGGCATTCGTGTCCGCTAAGACGACGCCTTGCGAGCAGCCGCCTTGCAGAGTTGCAGACGGGATGCAGCCACATCTCTAGCCGTGAAATTTCGGAAAACACGACGGAGTTGCCACCGCCGATCCGCGGGCTGCTGCATCGCTGACCATGAAAGCTCCGAGATCACATCAGGTTTGTCGGTGTTGATTAGCCATGAGGCCTGATCCGGAGGACACAACAGGCTTGCGAGTGTCAGCCTTTGGGCAGCTGCATCACTGGCCATTGCAGGATCCGGAGATCACAACAGACTTGCCAGTATCGACGATGGGCATCTGTATGACTAGTCGTGGGGGGTCTGGGGAACACAACATGGTTGCTAGCACTAGTCTACGGAGTGCTGCATCGCTGGCTATGAAACACCGCAAGATCACAACACAGTTGCTGGTCCCAACCCATGGACAGCTGCAGGTGACACCGGCGAAAGGGGGGTTGGAATTGCATCCCAGTGGCTGGGTTGATGATATGAAAGCATTCTAGCCGCGGGTGGTGGCCAGCTGGCAGGACACAGGGAGGGGGGATGGTTTGAGCAGGAGGCTAGCCGTAATACTGCAGGCTTCACGAGATTAGTTCCCGGCGGAACCTGTATGGCTACCGCATCTACAACGATGGAATCAGAACCTGTTTTCTTCTCTTTGATGAGGATGAATATGGAGGCATCTGAAGAACAGGTGAAGTGAAATCGTGCGTTAAAGCAGAGGAGACAACGGGACAAATGTTCACCATACCAAGCCTTTAGAAAGCACATCTGCATACAACTCATCACGGGAAAAAAGAAAAGGAAAGGCTAGATTATCTAACAATAGTAAGTTACTCCCTCGGGGGCATCTCTGTGAACCCTAAGGAGGGGACTACTAGGTATACTAGGTACAAGAGCTACTTGTGTTGTAACTCCTTGTTTGTATCACCCAAAAGATTCCCACCCTCTATATAAAGCAGCCGCAGGTTCCTCTGATCATGAAAAGCTTTCAATCTAATAAACATCTTCATACAGCGGTAGATTCTTCTGATCTTAAAAAGGTTTCACCCGCATCCACAAATCCTACAAAATAACCACCCCTTCATCCCTATCGACCGCAAAGATGACTACTGGCATTACGACTTTACGAGACGCTCTCACACAGGAGAAGCCACGCATCCATCGCTACGCAACCAATACGAATACCTATAGAAACGATGATGCATGGCCCGAACTGAACGGACATATGAAGTTGTGGGTTGATTTCAAAATCGGGGCGCTCAACAAGCAGTATGGCAGCATACTGGATAAGGAATTCCCGGAAGGTGTCGCGGTTCCGCAAGCTTTTGATCAGCTTAAAAACCTCGCCATAAAGGAAGTGAAGGACATCAAGAGAATCATCGCTTGGAACGTGTCCATTCTTGAGCCCGCTCTGGCCTTCGGCCAGTCTGAGTTGCAGCACCAAGGGCCACGCCTTGTTCATGATCATGTGAAGCCCCAGATCCCCGGTCCCAGCTCACAAGCCAGGGTAGACCACCTGATCAAAGTCGTAGATGCCCCGCCTCGGACCCTCGTGGTGGGCTTGGGAACGACAAGCGCAAAATTCGAAGGGGGCGGACTTTTGAGCGCGATCAGCCAGAACATAGCCTCGAGGCACGAGAATCTCATGAGGCAGCTTGCGCATGCGTGCAAACTAGCCAATGCCCGCTACGGCTATCTCCAGACTGACGGCGAGCTTGTTGCCTGTCGCTTCAGCTGCACGGGTACGGTTTGGGAGGCAGAATTCATGCCTATCCCTATGGAACTTCATGGAGACAACGCTATGACAACGGAGTTGGCTGTTTGGTGGATGGCCATGTTAGCCCTGTCAGACATAAGTGACTCCGCCATCGAGGCCAACAACGACCACCAGGCGGATGTTGCCTATCCGGACGTCAACCCAGGCCTCCCAAGTGGCCCGAACATGGGATCATATCTCAGCAACGCAAGCTTCACAAGTGCCCCGGATATGGGGTCCCAGGACAACAACGCAGGCGTCGGTGGTATCCCCAACGTTGCCAGTTGCAACGCAAGCTTCCCAAGTGGCACGAACACGGGACCCGCAGAGAACAGCATCGAGTTTGCAAGCGACGTGCAACTTGACGATGTCTTCTGCTTGGAGGAGATGGAGATTGACGAGTTTCAGGGTTGTTCATTCCAACAGTCCTCATCAAACTGAGTATCAAAAGCAGGGTTTTTCAACGGGGGGTCGAACCCACTGAGCCTTAGGGGTATTCGATATTGGTTTGGGTATTTTGTGATTATCATCGGACGAAACAATAGCCAACAAAGTAACAAGACAAGACACACAACAACAAAATATTGTTACTCGATTATTGGACTTATTGTGTCAATCAGAGACTGTCAATCAAAGAATACCAAGCTAATGTTACTTGATCGAGACGGAATAAATGCCTGTGTGATGTATGTTGCTTCACCCACTTGGCTTTCCCCCGACAGTATGGATCATTACCCGAGGAAAGACAGGTAGGTATAGTTAGATTAGAAAAAAGAAGCACTTGTGTGAGTCGAGAAAAAGAAACGGTCTGATTAACCTAACCTAAACAGCTGCAGGGAAACATTTCAGCACCACATGCCACACACATTCAGTTGACAATTACACAATAGGTACCTAAGAGAGAGAGAAAGAACATAAGAAAAAAGAGTAGTAAAAAAATACTGAAAGAATCAAAACCAGGGATCGTCCCGAAAGCCTGACGAAATGTTCGCGCCCAGATTTTCGCAGCTGCAGTGACAAATGTCGGTGTATTGGGGGCAGACAACTTCAGGAATGGTTTAGATCGTCAAGTCTTTACCTCAACTCTGAGATTCAACATTTTAGAAAACAGTTTAAAACAATTGGAAAGTTTCTCCTTCAAGGAACACACCTCGTTGGAATGAAAAAACCACGTTTAAACGCCCATGAGAAGTAGCACCGGCAATTCGTTAAGTTTCTCAGGTACGCCATATTCTCCTTACTCCCTTCGTAGTACCATCGAGGTGGCTTTTTCAACCGTCGGCGGGTCTTGGAGACCTTTGCAACAGACCTACCAGAGCCACTACCCTTTGAGCTCTGACCATTGGCTTGTCCCCCGGCCGAGTTCTCATCCCTACCCCGGGCATGTGCCCTCCAGTCGTAGAGTCTCGGGTCAACATGGGTAAAGACACGCTCCCTAGATGGCGTCCTTCTCAAATTGTAGGTCCAAGGTGAGGGTCCATACAACTGGGGAAGTGCCTTGACTGAGACGTGGTCCTTCTGAAGCCTGTGTTCGTTCCATTCCTCAACGACTTCGTCAAAGGCGCTGTAGTCCTTGCAGCTGGACAGGAAAAGATTAAACTCCATGAGAGCTAGCGCCCAGGGTTTCAGATGTCGGTTCAACTCAGGACTCATGGCAAAATGGGGGGTGGTCATGGCGGTGCTGAAGTCGCAGAGCTTGCCGTTGATTATTTGTCGCTGGGCCACATCGACTTGGATTATGCCAAGCTGCTGCAATTGGACAACGTCCTGGAGGGTCTTGCTCAGTTGGCGGTTCCGCAACTTGTCCACGCCGGTTCCAAACTCCTTTACAATGGCTCGGATGGGAGGTTGCCTGCCGTCTCTGGTCAGGAAGTTCCGGCGCCGACTTCCAGGTTCGTCTTGGAAAATATCCTCGAGCTTGCGACCGGGGAAACGGTCCCTCAGGGCGCGTTCATGATCCTCGTCGAGGAGCACATAGCCGTAGCACTCGACTGCCAGCTCAGGGTGGCCGGACTCGTGGAGGCGGCCAAAGGCACGGCATTCGCAGTTAAACGGGTCCAGGAACTCGTAGAAAGCGGTCACTTCCTTGCGGTCCTTTTCGTCGTAGTCACAAGATAGTGGGGGGCCAAAATAGTCCACCTCTTCTGAGAACATGAACTAGGCAGGTACAGGGTAGTTAGCAGGGTACTAAGTCGTCCAAGCAAGTTCGATTTCCAGATGGGCCTTACCAGCTTTAGTGCGTATATCTGCTCCGAAATCTTGACTTTGATAACATGCGAATGCAAGCCGTCCCCAAGATGTTCCAGGAATTCTATTTGTTGAGGGCCCTGGAAGTCAAACGGCTTCAGCTGAGGGCCCTTGATCCGCCGCGGCAGGGGTTTCAAGTCAGACTCAGACTGGGGCAATTCTGGATACAGGGGGAACCCGCAAGTCTGAGGCGCCTGTGAAGGTAGCTCAGCAGCCATGATTGAGGCGCAGAGATGGGGCAGAGGTAAGATGCAAAGCTCAAAGGCCAGACTTGAGGATGGGTGTTTCTCGTTCAAAACCTGATATGATGAGACTGAAATAAATAAATAAATAGAAGAATTATCCAAAGCTGCTCCATGGCCAAATCGCTATTCTTATAGTCGTTCTAAATGGGAATGCCTTGTGCCCAGCCCCGGAAGGACCCTGCGACGGGAGTTCAGGTTGACCACCATCCGACCCGTGGTCAACCGCCGGTCGGAGGGTGGTCAAGGGTAGGTAGATTCTGGCGGGCACCCACCGTGTCTCTTAGGTATAGTAGGCAACCTGGTTCAGTAAAGCTCCTAAAGACACAATGAGTTTTCTAGTACCAGCATCACAAAACTTCTGAATATTCCTGCGGCCATTAGCTTCTTGGCTTACGATTGATGGGTCAATTCCTTTCAATCACTGTCACGCTTGACGCCAACCTCTCCGGCACCATCCTGTGGTGGGACAAAGACCACATTGTCTGCCCCTTAAATTAAGTATTATCCCGTCATAGAAAGACATTCAGAAATAGACCAACAAATCACTCGGAAGCCCGTCAAGACCTTGTTTTCTTTGTGCCGAAGACCAGCGTGGTCGAGCTGCCAGGCCGACACGACGAGCACGACTCGTCCTTCCTCACCCCGGACAGGTCCTTCACGTGGCAAAATCCATACGCGACGGATGCCACACACGCCTCCAGTATCTTGTTTGATATGACCCCGCAACTCCCGCATTGGACATGTTCCCCCACGCACATCTTGCCCCGAAAGCCAAACTGCCGCCCCTGAAGTAAAAGACGGGGAACCACGCGCCAGCGTTGTATCAACCCCCCCGGCAGAACCGCCGCTCGCCGCACTCTGGAATCAAGCGTCTTCCAAGAAAAGAAGGGGACCAGCCCCGAGTGTGCATTACTTCAGACCAGGTGAAAAGAAAAGAAGGGGGATAAAAACCGATCACGCCTACTAGTAGCAGAGACGGGACGCCGACGGCGAGCGTGGTGAGGCTGCGATCAACGCATCACCTCAAACTCCGACTACAGCGTTCTGTCATTATCAGTGTTAAATAGCTTCGCTCGCTCATACATTCAGGACAATTCATAAATGGGGGGACATACCGTTATCGGTTCAGTTCAGCCAGCTGAACGAAAGAAGAAAAGAAATTATGATGGGTGCTGCAAGCAGAGCTCCTCACCTCGTCCTCAGCCCATTCACCCCAGAAACAAAAAAAAAATTGAATAAGAAACGACGGAGAATAGGAAATTTTTCAAAAAATAGAAAGACAATAGGAGGCCATCCATGTTTAAATAGTGCCTCCTCCCAAGCCTCGCCCTCCCCCAACTCTCCTCCCCTCCTCAGAACGGGCTGGATTCTGAGGCCATCACGAACAAGAAAAACGACGAGTCACCTTCTACCACGCGCCAACGGGTCGCTAAGAAGAGCTAGACGCAACCCGCAGAAGCAAAGAACCGGCCGCCTGCCACGAGGGCGCGTGACGAACCCATGACCAGGATTGATTCCCGCTGCGGCGTCGGCAGGAGGTTCCTCCTGCCTTTCCTCTGCCTCGTGCTCTTCGTCACTCAGCTGGGTCTGTCGCTGAGCAATCTCCCATCCCTGAGGCTGATGCAGGACGTCATCTGCAAAAAGCAACTTGGCATTGCGTCGTATTCGCTTCTCCCAGAGGGCGACTGCCACGCCGACGGAATCCAGCAGGAACTCAACCTGGCCACAACTGGCAGCTTGATTTCGACCACCGTCGGAGGTGAGTTTGAGCTATACGCCCGAGATGAGTTGGCTGGTATCTAATGATTTCTTTTTCCCCCGGGCCTAGGCGCGCTGGTCGCCCTGCCGTTCGGTGTCCTTTCAGATCGCCTCGGCCGCGTGCCAGTTCTTGGACTTAGCGTAGTTGGCCTGTTTCTCTCCCAAGCCTACGCCGATTTCGTCATTTGGATGGCCCCCAGAGTTCCTCTCACTGCAATCTGGGGTTCCGGAGTCCCTCTTCTGATCGGCGGGGGGAGGAGCATGGCTGAATCCATGGTCTTCGCCCTGATATCAGACATCATCCCAGCACCAAGACGGTGAGCACCCGCGTCCATCCAGACCAACTCTCTCAACTAACCGATACCTTTAGCGTCTTGTGGTTCCAGTGCATAGCGGCCGCAGTCATCGCCGGGCAAGCTACGTCGCCTATCCTCGCAGGCTACCTCATGGAGCTGTCCCCATGGATACCACTATGGGTGTCACTCGGCCTGATCTTCGCCGGCGGACTCTCCCTCACCCTCTTCACCCCGGAAACTCTCCCAATCAGCACTCCCATTTCAGATGATCCGGGAAAGGATGGCAGGCAACCTGCCAAATCGATCCGCACCGCCCTCCGGTTCCTCTTCTCCCGCCCGGCCATCGCCCTCCTCCCAGGCTCCATCCTCGCCATCCCGCTCGCAAGCGCCCAGGCAGACGTCATAACCCGGCTCATGCCCCTTCAGTTCTCCTGGTCCCTGTGGCGTTCGTCCCTCCTCCTCTCGCTCAACAGCGCCGGCACCATAACCACCCTCCTCGTCATCCTCCCCGTCCTCGCTTGCCTTTTTAGCAGAATGGACCCGCTCAGGCGCGACGTCATTCTGGTAAGAGTGAGCGCGACACTCCTCATGTTCGGATCCCTGGCACTCACGATGATTACAAGCGAGGGCCTTGTTATAACTGGAGTTGTCGTCCTCGCCCTGAGTTCAGGTGTCCCTACCCTATGCCGATCCCTCCTAGTATCACAACTTCCGGACACCTACAACACCGGCTCCGTATTTGGGATGATTGCTCTCGGCGAAACGCTTGGGTTCATATGCTGCTTTCTTTCTATGGGTGCACTATTTGATGTTGGTGTACGAGTTTGGATTGGTTTGCCATTTTGTTTTGGCGTAGCGTTGGCTATCCTCATTGGCGCCACCACCTGGAGCTTTCGCGTCCCACAGACAATAGAGTAACCCATGCACTATCATACGAATTACTACTAGATAGATCATGACCAAGAAGTCACAACGTATCATAGGGTTATTGACCACGTCTCGTTTTCTTAGGTCGTTTACAGCAAGCATTCCCACAGTCAAGGAATTTCTCATGCACCATTCTCTCACCAAGGCAATGTATATGTGATTGATATGATTGTTCAAAGTTTCAATTCGCAAAGCTAACTAGAGCTAATCCATTCATCGTTACACGTAATGTTTTAGGGTATCAAAATAGGAATCTGAAAGTTGCCGTCTCTAGACATTCTCGCGGTGCTTTTGCTTGTCCTCGGCCTCAGCCTTCTTGAGAATGTCGTGCTCAACACCGCGCTGCTGGGTCTTGCCCTCGGCACGCAGCTGGTCGAAGTGGGCTTGACCCTTCTTGTCGCCAGTCAGTCCGCTGACAGCGCTGCCGACTGTTCCGTAGGCTCGGTCAGAGATACCGGAGCCGAGGTCGCTAAGCTGGCCCTTGGCCTCCTGCTGCTGACCCTCGAGGTTCTGCTGGCGTCCAGCAGTCTTCAGAGACTAGAGCTGCGAGTTAGTCGTGAATCCAGAGAGCTTAGTATGGGAAGGCGGTGTTTGTTACCTCATTGCCGATGAGTCCACCGACGGTCTCCTTTGCGGCACCAACGGTCTGGTTCCATGAGCCGTTGGTGCGATCAGAGTTGTCGCGGGTGACAGCGCCAGAGCCGGAGATAGCAGCACCTGGAACCTTGGCGGTGGCGTGCGAAGCGTCGTATTCAACATCGGCCTTCTGCTCGCGGGCCTCGCCCTTGGCCTGGTCTTGGGTGCTGCCAGTGAGGCTGCCAATAGTGGACTGGACGGCGCCGATGGTAGAGTCGGCGAGCGACTTGAGAGTGGAGGGTTGGGTGTTGTCAGACATGATGGCTAAGTTATAAGATAAACTTGGATCTTAGAATTGTTGATGTGAAGTAGAGGTCTTGGATGAGTTTTGAAGAGTGAGGTGATGATGGTGGAAGAAGGAAATCTCAAGCTCAGATGCGGGAATGGCCAACATAAATACTTCAAACCATCTGAATCACGGAGCAGGTATGATGCACCAACATCCCGATCTCCTCGTGTAGCAGCCATGCCTCACCACAGTCTCACCCAACGCTTGCCTTGGATAGTGGCTGCCAGGCTGCCGGTGATGTCATAAAAAAGCAGAGGCAATCACGCACAGGACCCTTGGTTTGGAGCTTCTGCCCACCTTCCAGCCAACCAGTGAAGTTGATCGTGATGAAATGGCCCTGTGGGGAAAGTCGTGACGTCAGTCCCGGCTGTGAGCAGGTGCGCCTGGGACGATCCAGCCAATAGCCACCTGCTCCCTTGCACGCCGGCTAGTGAAGCCGCAAGTGCTAGCCGTGTCTGCATCCAGTAGCTCCTGCAGCCTTCCGGGAGCGAACAATCGACTTTCAATCTGGGGCAGCGGGTTCTTTAGGAAGAAGAGAAGCCTCTGGAACACGGCTCCAGACATCGGATTTCTGGCATCATCGGCGGCCAACATGCAATTTTGAGTGCCATGACGTCTTATGTTGAGTTTATTTTTTTTAGTAATTGTTTCGTCATGGGATGCATTGCATGTGGTCACTCGTGGATGATGAATCTTGCGTCCACCTCAACTCAGCGGCCCAGATAGCTCAGCACACGGAATGTAAAGCCACGAGTAATGTTCAGTACCATGGTTCGCCTGAGCATGAGTTACGCGTAACTCTGCACTACCACGCTGAAGAACGAACTGTGTGGGTAATTACAGGGTGGACCGTTCGTTCCATCGACGGCAACGGCTTTCACCACGCCGTGTATCATTGGCGCATGCTGAGAGACTGTTTGACTGGATCCAAAGTGCCGTCTCACATAAGGTAGGTACTTTGTGGTTGCACCATTTGTTCTGACCAATTGGGCGACCGTGATAATATTTCGTTAAGTGATTGTCCCCAGCCGGACCAAGAGATCCGTTCTTCTAAAACTGACATAGAACCTTGAGTGTGCTCCAGTTTGTGTAAACCCAGGCCTCGTCGTAATTCGACTTCATAAGTTGTTCCCCAGCCACTTGACTCCCCAGCCATGCTATCGGTACTTTAAAGAAAGAGGTATCGTGATAGTACAAGAAATTCATATTTTACAGAGATGGAAAACTCCCCCGATTAGATATCACCATTATTTCGCATGGCATTTCGTCATTGCTCAGTGTTGGCTCCACTGGATGGTGTCGAGATCAATACCCTCTTGGACAAGCTCCCAGAGGGGACTCAATTCACGTAGGAAGGTGACACGCTCCTGCACAGCCTTGAGGACGTAGTCGATCTCCTCCTCTGTGGTGAATCGGCCAATACCAAACCGGATGCTGCTGTGTGCGCTCTCGTCGCTGTTTCCAAGCGCACGGAGAACGTAGCTGGGTTCCAGGGAAGCCGAAGTACAAGCGCTACCAGATGAGAGCGCAATGTCCTTCAATGCCATGAGGAGAGACTCGCCCTCGACGTAGGCAAAAGAAACGTTTACGCAGCCGGGATAGAAAGACTCGGGGGCGCCATTTTGAGTTGCGTGTTCGAGAGCAAGGAGACCGTTCAGGAGTCGGTCGGAGAGATATTTGATACGCTTCGAATCGTACTAGAGAAGGAGCAGGTGTCAGTCACTCGAAGCTGCTAATGGTATGTAAAAGTCCAGCCAAATGAAGAAAAAAAAAGCAGCGGGATAGAATCAGATAAAACGCTTCGATCAACAAAGAAAGCCTTGTCACGGGCATTCAGAAAGCCATGCATGTAGGAGCAGATCATCATGCAACATAAGGAGACGAATGAATGAAAAGGGCTTTGTCTTACCTCCATCTCCTCTCGAGCGATACGGCAGGCTTCTCCGAAACCTGCGACCAGGGGAGGTGCAAGAGTACCGCTGCGAAGACCTCTCTCCTGTCCACCACCTGTGATAAGAGGATCTAATCTGACCCTGGGCCTTCTTCGGACATAGCAGGCACCAATACCCTTGGGCCCGTAGATCTTGTGCGAAGAGATGGACATCAAATCGATGTTCATGGCATTGACATCCAGCGGGATTTTCCCGACAGCTTGTGCGGCATCAGTGTGAAAGAAAACTTTGTTCTTGCGGCACAGCTTTCCGATCTCGTGAATGGGCTGGATAACACCAATCTCGTTGTTCACGGCCATGATACTGACGAGGGCGGTCTCGGGGCGGATAGCAGCCTCGAGATCTTCCATCTTGATCAGGCCGTTGTTCTGAACAGGGAGATAGGTGATCTCAAAACCTTCATCCTGGAGATGCCGACAGCTGTCGAGCACACACTTGTGCTCCGTCTGTGTGGTGATGATGTGCTTCTTCTTTCCTGAACGTCCAAAGAATCGAGCAACACCCTTGATGCTCATGTTGTTGCTCTCTGTCGCTCCGCTTGTGAAGATGATTTCCTTCGAGTCGGCGCCGATGAGCTTTGCGATATGTTCGCGCGCCTCCTCGACCGCCTTTTCACTCTCCCAACCGTATGCGTGAGTTCTGGAGTGCGGGTTGCCATAGATGCCGACATAGTAAGGGATCATGATGTCCAGGACACGGGGGTCGACGGGGGTTGTGGCTTGCATGTCGAGGTAGATGGGCCGCTGGCCCTCTTCCATGACGGCCGCCTGCTTCAAGACCTCTGATGGTAACGGTCAGCTTTAGAAAGTTGGGGAGACCGAGGGAGGAGGAGAGACATACTAGCCATAGGACTGACTTTGGCATTGGAAGGCGCCTCCATAGACGGTGGAGGGATGTCGGCAAAGTCCTTCTTGTCGAGCTTGATGGCCGTCTCGACACGAGCATTATCTCGCTTCGATTCGGACACATAGCCTCGGCGGGCGGCACATCTCGACGCAACTGCCGCGGAGGTTGCGACAGGTAGTCTGCGCAAGGGAGCAGCAGCAGCCCGTCGCGATGACTTGAGTGCACAGGACACAATACTGGCCATGATTGCGATGTGTCAACCTGTTGATCGATGGGTTGACAGATGCAGGTGGCAAGAGAGTGAGGCCCTTGGAGGGCGAGGGCCAGAATTTAGGTAGCTTGCTGATTAGATTTGCACACTAATTGGGGTTCGAGATCGAGAATTTGTCACCCACATTCGGGGCTCGGCGAATCGGCGATAAAGCCTGCGGCCTTCCATGGCCATGATTGGCTCAAAAAGCCGGCTTGGACTGAAAAGGACCAGCTCAACAGACCTACAAGCCAATAGCAGCTCGGGGGCCAGAAAAGATCTTCATACCTGCCGAGTACTTGGACGTGTACATTCGATACCGGAGTACTTCAAAGAGGGGGAAGGGGAATAGAAAAAGCCGGGGGTTGTCCGCGGAGGTTGCAGCGAATTCAACCCATCTCACGGCGGGCGGACATAAGAGTCATTATACGACTGCCTCTCATTTGCAGCGGGAAATTCAGCGACTGTCCGAGCTTCATTGCGCGAGATACCTGACCTATCAAGTACCTCGTAGCTCAAGATGTGTTGTTCAATTGTATCACAGACTTGTTATCTACTAGTACTATGTGAACATGAAGGCATCGATGACGACAGGAGACCAGAGGACCCTCGCCCGGCCAAACTGCATTGACATTGATGCTGTTTTACAAACTACGAGATGGAAAGTTTATTGACCAGAGGCTGGAGGTCAGTTCGGAGTTCCTCCGCTTTAGAAGACGGTAATTACCAACGCGTGGACCAAGCCCTGTCTCCGTCCACGCTGATGAACCAGAGACCAAACCCCCACACAGCACTGATCCCTCCCTCTCTGCTTTGGGACAGGTCCATGGGAACCCAGCCAAAACAAGATATGGAGAATGTGATCCTCGCTTGCTCGGAACCCAACCCTGCGTCGGGGACAGGTAGCCTCGGGAGAAACGACTGAAGCTAGGTGCTATAGAGATTTAAACTGCTCTGGGTATTGGCTCCGGCTGCCGACACATGATATGTCGTTGTAGTTGCGCGCTGGACTTGTGTTGCTTTCAGGTAGCGATGTGAGTGGCAATGCCGGGGCCGATGACACAAAGCAGCAGCGTAGAGCCTTGGCATTGGAAGCTCTGGGCGCATCAGCCAGCGCCAGCCACACGCTGTGGTGCGTATGTACGTACCACAACCGGCAGCACAGCCACGAAGCACGTCGTCATGCGGCGGCGCTGGCTGCTGACATCGTTAGCCTTCGCAGTAGCCTTTTATTAAAATGCCAGTGCAGTGCCCTTGACCTCACCCACCTGACGGGTTACTGGTGAACTTTGGTCGATTCGACAACCCGCCAACAAGGGCCCTCAAGCATTCGATATATTGTGCTCAATCCGAAGCCCGACGACCAGCTCGCCAGTTTTTGCTTACAAGCTTGGGTGCCATGAGTTTCAAAGGATTCCAGAAGAGCCTGACTCGGGTAAGTCCATCTTTTTGTCGTAAATCGTCATCAGTCCTGCTTGCCCCTCACCACCCGAGCACCCCGCCGGTGATGCTGCCTTGACAACGCCAGCCAGAGGACCTGTGGGAGACTGTTGCATCTGCGGATGGAGTTGCTGATTTTTTTGAAACTTTTTTTTCTGCTTGAAATAGGCACCTCAGCAATTTAAAACCAAGTTCAACATCGGCGAACAGACCAAAGATGCCGTCTACATAGATGCCGAGCGTCGATTCCAGGAGCTCGAGAAGGAGACGAAGAAGCTGCACGATGAGTCCAAGAAGTACTTCGAAGCCATCAATGGCATGCTCAATCACCAGATCGAGTTCAGTCAGGCCATGACCGAAATCTACAAACCCATATCAGGGCGCGTGTCCGACCCAGATTCTATCAAGCCTGAGGGCAACCCAGAGGGTATCGAGGCGTGCGAGGAGTACGAGGCCGTGGTCAAGGAGCTCCAAGAAACGATGGCGCCAGAGTTGGAAATGATTGATACTAGGGTTATTCGACCAGCCAACGAACTGATGGACGTGATCAAGGTTATTCGCAAGACCGCCTTGAAGCGAGAACACAAGAAACTCGACTACGATCGCCACCGGGCAACCCTCAAGAAGCTTCAGGATAAAAAGGAGCGCAGCGCCAAGGACGAGAAGGCCATGTGGAAAGCCGAAGGCGATGTCGAGCAGGCGACCCAAGATTTCGATTATTTCAATAATCTGCTCAAGGACGAGCTACCGAAGCTCTTCCACCTCGAACAAGAATTCATCCAGCCCCTCTTCCAGTCTTTTTACTATATGCAGCTCAACATCTTCTATACTCTGCATGAGCGGATGCAACGGTGCGACATTGGCTACTTCAACCTCACGCTTGATATCGAGGATGCCTTCCACGAAAAGCGAGGGGACGTTCAGGAGAGGACGGAGCAGCTATCCATTGTGCGGTATAAGACGACAGGCCAGCGACGACCACCAAAGTATCAGAATCGCCTCGAGGCCGGGAAACCCCAGGGTCTGCTGACCCAGGGTCCCGGGGCCTCGGAGAAAGAGAAAATGGGAGGCCATTCACCCAACCTGTCCGATGCCGAACCAAGCCCGCCTCCCCCGTATACGACCGGCGGATCCAGCCTGTCGACAATCGCCGCGGCCAAGGCGAAGCCGCCTCCACCAAAACCAAAGCCAAGCAGACTGGTTGCGGCAGCGCCTGCCGCAGAAACGGCGACGGCTCTCTACGATTACGCCGCCCAAGCCGACGGCGACTTGAGCTTCCAGACTGGGGATGTAATTGAGATTATTCAACGGACACAGAACGAAAACGAATGGTGGAGTGGAAAGCTGAAAGGGAAGCAGGGGCAATTCCCAGGTAAATTTCCGGGCACCCCAACCCCCAATTTAGGAAGAAACCCCAAACTAACCCAAACCTCACAGGAAACTATGTTCGACTAAACAGCTGATGAATCATCCTTGCCCTCTGTGATCTTCCTACATGTGGGTACCCGAGACCAATCGAACACTCTATCAATAATTGCTAGATGTGAGAGACCAGGTTGAGGAGAGAAAAATTCAGACTGGAAGGAGTTCTTTAATTAGCATCGTTTCACGAATGTCGGATAGAGGAGAAAGATAATTACCATAGCCACCGTGCGTACAGCGCCGAGACCCCAAAGGGAGAGAAGTAAAGGGTATTGTCCCCGTCATTGTGAGAGGGGTGCTTGTGATGAGGCATATATTTTTTTCTTGGTGTATTGAACAACTAGATATCACAATCCTAAATCATTGAAACCGAGATCTGATTGCAATCACGAGAATATCGAAGAAGTAGCCTTAAGGTCATCATGAACAACGCCTGCGCTGGCCAAAGACGCATCCGCTATTGGATGCCATTTTCAGCTCAAATCGTCAGTCTTTCACACACATACTTGAAGGTTTGCAACCATGATTATGATGTAATTTACTCTTGAGTGTATTCTACTCACGGATTGTTTCATCCTCAACCAAGACATCAGTCCAGTGCTGAGTGGTCTATTCAGGGATGGCAGATGTGGACTCCAAGCATACTACCTCACCCACCCCGGATATAGCCCTTGACTATCCGATTACTATAGTCTCGAAAAATCTAGGAAAATACCCATTGCAGGGCTAAGACTTCCATTTAAGCGTAACACTGCGCACGTGGTTCCAATCAAAAACTGGGGGTAGACACTGGTTTTCTCTGGTGTAGATTTGATCAATTCTAGAGTTTGAGTATTATAGGGCCAAGTCAAGGCCCAGAAGTGGTCGATTTTCCCCCTGTAGAAAACTATATAAGGGCTGGACTTTTTCTGCTAGATTTACGCTACCAGGCTCTATAACTCGTGGCAGCTTTGGCACGACTTGTAGAGGATCGCCGTGGCTCTCTTGCGAGACCACGGCCTTGGGCAATCCTGGGAATCTCAGTTCTGGATCAAACGATATGATAACTATAGGCGATGCAGAGTCTGAGCCGCTTTCCTCCGTCGAATAGATGACAAACCTGTCATCTGCTACCCAATACTTCACGCGACCTGATGGTTGTGGATTTATCAAGCTGAATGCCTGGTGGAGCTGAGTGTCTGATTCGCCGCGGGCCGATTCCGGGGGCCATATCTTGATATCCGAGTCCCCCTTGAAGATTTCTCCGCCAGTCAAACTCAGAGAGCGAGTTTGGAGATCGGGAGTTCTCGCCATTGGCCGTATCCTAAGTCTTAATCGTTGTTGGTTGGTTGATTCCGGCGCTGGGTCGTTGACAAGATCAACGAAACTTCTTGCCGTAGGATTATATGACCGTATAGAAGAGTCCATGTAGGTGCATGTTGATGTATGAGATCCACTATCACCATTATGAACGCTGCCTGGTGGGCGAGTTTCGAAATAGACCGGGCTGTCTAGCTCGTCTTCAGGAGGGTCTTCCAACTGTTCTATTCCTGTGGAGTCTTCCAACGGGAACTCGATTTCTTTGCGGTAGCAATTCCGTTGGCTGAAGGCCGCATTAGGGTTCCATTCCTTTCTAGTCTCGTAAATGAAAATCCCACCAGTTTTCTCATCCTGGGAAAGCCCGAGCGAAGCCCAGCGATCATCAGTTGAACCCTCGTTGGGATTTCTTCTCCAGCTCAATGACTTGGGGAGCGGAGTCGGAGAGGTGAGCTTGCCTATTGGGAACCGAAACACATAGTAAAACGAGTTCCAGGTTCTGGGCTCGGCGGAGAAAACCTGTTCGCTTGATACGCCATAGAAATACCCGTCAAATATCTCAAAGGAGGTGTTGGACCCGATCTCCTCTCCCACTAGACTTGGGAGATCGAGGAATCCGACCTCTTCTATTCCAGAACCGAGATTAATCTGTCGAAGAGTCCAGGAGCCTGGATTTTGGCTCGTTGGATATGAGCGGACGCCGTAGTAAAGATAGCTCTCGTCGTTTCTAATGAATATCCTGTGTGTAGTTGCCAAAGGATATGCCCTTGATCGCATTTGATCAATTTCCAACGTAATCAAGTAGTCTCTCCCTGCTCCTGTCCCATCTTGAGCCAACAAAGAAACAACCCCACAAGAATAGTGCAACGGACTCAACCGATAGTCACCCCACGTTGGGTCCAGCGATTCAATGCTCTGAAGTAGTCGCAGTGGATCGAGAGCCAATTCCGTGGTGACCGATCCTTGAAGAAAAAGAACACGAACATGATCTTGCCCAGCAATATAGAGCAAGGCGCCATTTCTATATATGAACCGGTCCGCTACGGCAACAATCGATACGAGAAAGGGGTTGGCCGTTTGGATAGCAATTTTCCGCTTTGTAATCTGTCGCCATGCTTTTGCATACTGATGCGTGGTCTGCGCAGCCTTGTATTCTGGTGAGAACGAGGCGTGTTTCTATCTCCATATCAGTAAGAGGCTGACTCTCAGCGACCCATGGTGCCTGACCTGAAGATTCAGTCTACATATGCCCTCATCGTGAAGTATGAACTGAAAGCCGCGGCTGCTCAAGCTGAAGTTGAACTGATCTTCCAGATCAAGAAGACCGAGCACCATGAGAAATATCTCGTTTGGCAGCTTGAGAAGCCCCATAATAAAGAAGCTGGAGAGACAGGAGTGGCCCTTTCATAGTCACGGGCATTGTTACATATCTCCGCAAGAAACAAGAAGTTGCCCAGGGCGAGGCTGGGGGGAGTTTTAATACAGATGGGGTTTCTGCCCTTAGGAAGGTGGTACACGACAGGTGTAACACGCTTGGGGATAGCAGAGCCTCATTCCATTGGGAGACAGGGGAGTTTCCCGAGAGAGGGGTTCCCGAGGAGGGGTGAAGAGGGAGGGGAAATTAGTGAATGAGGCTCTGCTGCGGTCGGTACTAGATGGGTGTAGCCCTGAAACCAACCCCCCCCCCCTTCTTAGACTTGAGGGAGCCTGAAGGGAGGACACGGAAGCATGAACAAGGTTGATCTGAAAAGGTGCATGTCCGCAACCGGTAAAGCCCTCACATCGTGGCCGGTGGGCTTTCTTGGACTGATAAACTGGGTTTGTGTGGTGTCACGAAACATGTTGGAAAGTGAAAGAAGATTTCTAGATGAGAGGAAAGAACCTCCCAGGGTCACATGCAGGGAAAGGCGGACTTCGGACTGGCTGAAGGGAAGACAGCCAGGACAAGCTGGCTGCATGGCACTAAGCAGGCGAGTACCTCCTTGGTGAGGCTGTACCAATACCACGGACAGGCGCGAGAACAAATGAATCGAGGTGCATGCGTAGTGCAGTGCTACATATCATAGCCCAATCACGTCTCGAGTTCTCGAGGTGCGGCTCTGCAGATGGGGTACATGGGCGGTTTGCCAATATTACCACAACACCGACGCACCAATCATCAGCGTGCCTACCTACAGGTATTGAAGGTAATTTGCTAGGTATTTTAGGACCAGTGGGGAAGGCGCGTGATAAGGTGTGTTTCTTCCTGACACAATTGTACAATCCGACGAGAACTGCAACCTTTCCTTTCCCCTGCTTATTTAGTATCTGTGAAAACTGACCCCGCACACACACACAATCATCACAAACGCGAGTGATCAGCTTGTGTGAGTGGCTTCTGGCGTGTCCAAGAAGCATCATCACTCAGCCTGAGCATCATCAGGCAAGGACGGAGATATCCTAACCCATTCACTGCCTGCGACATACCAGGAGCAAAGAAGGTACTTCCGCTAAGGTGCGGTAGTCTAATACCACTGAGGTACCTTTGTAGGTACCTCATCAACGGCCCGCTCGCCCTGAATTGCGTTTCCGCCACGGAATGAGGCTCAAATCGGGACGTGCTGCCTGATGCAGCTACAACACAGACTTCTGCACATGCACTTCAATCTCGCACTAGGCCGCCCTGCCCTCTTCGTCCCGTATTTGATTCGCGCCTGGCTCTAGCCTTCATGCCTGGTTGCAGAGGTACCTCGTAACCGGATATCGATATCAAACCCCCCCTCGATGTGGATACCCGGTACCATCTGGGTGGAAATGAAACCTCATGCTGTCTCTCCCAGCAATGGAACCCATGCCACAGATAGTCGACAGATTTGCGAGGTACGTTGGGGCACCCGTGATACCAATTTACGAAATTTATTATCTCTCTCTCACCGCTAGATGAGCTCATTGGTAATTCTGAGCAGGTCAAAGCACCATAAGACACAATGTTGCTTACACGTCTTTGGCTAGAGTCGAAACAACGCAGATGAACTTAGCTGGCCCGTACGGAAATGCCCAAGACATGAAAACTTGGCCTTGTGTATGCCGCACTTGTCACCGGCTTACTCGTTTCGGTACAAGCCACGTCAATCTAAAGAGCAAGCATTTCCATTATTGGCCATGACCATCAGACTAATAGACTTCGGTCAAAAGTCAATCAGAGGCCATGACCGGGACCTACCAATCTCCTCGAAGCCCCATTTCATCCGGCACGAGCATGTCCCAAAGATCAGGTAGCATTTGTGACGGATTTCCGGGCAGTGGGGAGCACGATTCCAAATCCCTGGGCCTGATGTGGCAACGTTAGGCTGTGAGCCTGATTGTGTGACCGTGAACAGCAGATCCAAGGAAGCACCGTCTTACCATCCCGATTCCCTACAGACGTGGCTTAGCTGTGTCAGAAGAGGAGGATCTTGCAACCCGGTGAGTGGGTGAACGAACCAAAACGCACCTTTGGCCTTAAAACTGTGTGGTTTCAGTCACTGCCACGTCAGCTGATAAGCTGAACCATTCTATGTCAGTCGGACCCAAACCACACCCGTGACACGAGGAATAAGCCCGATCGGGCAATACTTCTTCTGTATGCCGAAAGAGTGTGAGCGGTGGAAATGACGACGTGGTGAACAGTTCGGAATCGCCTCGCCTACCACGAAAGGTGGCATACGAGTGTTTCCCCATCGAAATGGCGGCCCTGTAGCCGAAACCAGTATACTACAAAGAAAACCCACACCTACCATATCCTAAATCATCGGCCAGTTTAGTGTAAGTTTAGTGAACAAATACTGGACATTGGCCCGGATGTCAAGGGGGGATGCCTCGTATCGACCGCAGTGGCCAGGCAGGACTTTCAACTTCGTCATTACGTGTCAAATCATGCCAACGTCCCCAATTGAGGAATTTATTGAAAATGCAATGATATATGACATAACAATGAGCGAAGCGGGATATAGCCGGCCTCTTGCATATTCGTTGCATACCTGGGGTGGTATTAAATGGAGAAGGCTATCCGAAGATGTCACCATGTTGAGCGTAAAGCCAAGCCAAGCCGCGCGGTGGATAGAGTAGGAAACTACAGGTCTTAATTGAACTTCGATGGAAAGTAACAGTAGTAAAACTTTAGATTTATGCAGACGAAACTGCCTGATATTCAAGTGCAAGCCTCACTGTTGCTATGGCTGGTATGATCATGGCGTCAAGCAAGAGCGGGATGCATAGTGTAAAAGAATGTGCGGTTGAGAGGATTCATGGTTACAGCAGCACTCGTATCCCAGACCTAATGCAAAATATGCTCGGTAGTATTGAAATGATTTCTCGTAGATTCAGTATGCTCGGTAGGTTTATACGGTGCTTCAGAGATACAGTGCCTAGAAATAATTGACACTGTGTCGACGGTTAATCGATAAGATTGGCAACTGGCTATCGCAAGGTAACTTTTTTTTTTGCTCTCGGAGGAAGCAACATTTTTGGCACAACTGCCGCGCGCCTTCGTCCTCTTGAGATCAGGAATTCTCGAAGCCCACATCGAGAAACTTCCGATCATGGCTCCTCAGGAAGCTTCTGGCGAGACTTTCGCCATTCTTACCATCAGGATGCCTCCTCTACCGTCTTATCCTACTTCCACAACACATGAAATTCGTGTGCGACGGAATGCGCCCAAGATCCCGACCGCGAACGACGATCGGAGTCTATTCCTCAAAAATATCCCCCCAGACAGCACGGAACCTCACTTTCGCGCAGTGTTCTCTAGTTTGGTAGGCCCCGGCCGCTTCGAGACCATGACTTTCGAGGACCACCAGACACAGAGCCCCGGCGTTGACCCGGCCCGCGCCCTGAAGATTAATGGGTTCGCGAAAAAGCGGAAGAGAGGGGATCTGGAAGAGGAGGAGCGCGAGCGCGAGGAAGAAGCTACCCGCTTACCCGAAATCTGGACGCGGCAATTACAGAAGAGCAGTAGCACTGCGGTGGTTCTCCTCGCTGACGAGAAGAGCGTCCAGCTGGTTCTGAAAGCCATTGGAAAGCTTCAGAAAACAAGAAACTACCCAGTGTGGGGCGAAAGTCTAGCAGATGAAGTGCCTTCTCTTGGTGCGCGATGGCTCTCCTCGCACCTCCAGCTGAACCGTGTCGACAAGACAGAGACTAAGAGGGCGGTCCATGCCTTCTTCAATACATATAACCGAAAAGAAAAGGAGGCTGCTGAGCTTGCGAAGAGATTGCGGAATGAACCTGACGAGGATGGCTTCGTTACTGTCACTCGCGGCGGTAGATCGGCTCCAGCTAGCCGTAATGAGGCTGAGGAGGCCAAGCAGAGGATGCTGGAGAAGCAGGATAAGAAGAAGTCGGATATGAAGGACTTCTACCGCTTCCAGCTACGGCAAAGGAGGAAGGACGAGCATAGGGCATTGCTTAGACGGTTTGACGAGGACCGGAAGAAGGTTGATGCAATGCGTGAAAAGCGTGGCAAGTTCAAGCCTGAGAGGTGATACGCTCGGGCTCGTCTCACACACTTGCAATTCTAGTCTGGTATGTTCGTTCCTGTTTCTTCATTTCCTCACATTATCCATTGGACTATGCATGATGACGCCGCGGGGCCATCAGACGTCAGTAGCATTGCTTTTAGCAATGATAACTCTGACGAAAGCTGCAAAACAACCGCGTTACCAAAATCTTCTCAAACTTTTCTGAAGCTGTTCTTTAATCAATCACCAAATCTCAAAATTGTCTTCCTTAGACACCTGCTAATGACAACGCATAGGTCCGCAAACTCTCGTCCTTTGCCATATTCGTAGGAAGGGACTGATCAGTGGTTTGGTCACCCTGGTGAAATAACAAGACAACTACGTATGCCGTGCTACATAGAGCGTCGGCATCTTGAACGAGCCACAAGGATTGTTGTTCCTTCTCCAAGAAAATGCTTCGGAGAAGGTCTGCAGCTTCCCACATGCAGAGGAACATGTCGTCCCGGCATCCGGCTATCCACCCTCACAATCCGGCCGCTGTCATGGGCCTTGTTCACCGCTTACTTCGATGGAAGCTCGTTTAAAAAGACATGTGTTCACGCCAGTTAAAGATACCCGGCACTTGTTCTCCCGGCGGAACATGTTTACATGTAGATAGAACTGGACCAGCCGTTATACAGCATCTTGCTGTTCTCACAAAGCGGATACTCTCAAACTTAAATCAGGGATGATGAGAATGCACAGCCATCAAAAACTGCCCATAAATCCGCATCGTAACCATGGCAAAAGTCTTCGCGCGTAGTTGTTTATGTGTTGTCAGTCAATAATCCAGAATATGCGGCCACCGGCGGCCCAGGCGATTTGTTGGCAGCATGTGATTAGTCATTCAGGCAGACGGTGGGAATGGGTTGGGGTGGATTGTTTACTTTCCCCCACCTAGCAACCAAAACAAAGAAGCGCCAGTCTCGCAAATATTAGCCAGGTTCCCACATCACAGACCCTGGCGCCCAAGAACTCGAGCTCACGATCGATAACACATGAGAATCCAAAGGTTCGACGAAGATGGTCGCATGCTTGATGCCCTAAACAAACAATCTTATGTGTGGTGCTCTGACAACAGCATATCACGATGATCGACACCGATAATCTGCGAACAGCGTCGCTGTACATCAACAATCAGCTCCTTTCGCGGGGTCTTCTCAAGGATGGCCAAAGCATTGACTTTTCGAGCCCCGAGAGGGCGGATGGCGACATTGCACCAACAATGGGACGCATCATGAGCGTGGTCAATGATCTCATCCTGCGTCGCGATGTAAGTTGCATGCGGCGGGTCGTCGAAAAGGTCTACGGGTACTGATATTCCTCTTTAGCGCGATGCTGAACACCGCGAATCGCTCTCAACGACAATGCGCTCCCTTCGTGCCGAGAATCTCAAGCTGGCCAACGACGTGAGCCGTCTGGGCGAGAAGTGCGCCGAGTCGCAGCGGAAACTCGACATTGCCGAAGCGTCGGAGACCTCTGTGCGGACACAGCTCAAGTCGGCAGAGTCCGTCAACCGTGGGCTCAAAGAGGACCTGGTCCGCACGAAGGCCCTGGTGGCTCAAGCGAGGACGTCTTGCGCCACCGAGGTCCGCCGACGCGACCGACAGATCGAGACGCTGAAGAAGCAGGTCGGGGAGGCTGGGCGGGCTCGCGGTTCTAGGACGAACTCGGCCATTACCACGATCACCGTGACGGGCGACTTTGGAGCGGACACAACTGCGAGGAAGGTGGCTGCCGCGAGTGAAGGATACTCTCTTCGCAGTGAGACCAACGCGTTTCTTGCCGACTTGGCGCAGAATCTGAGCGAAGAGAATGAGCAGATCCTGGGAGCAATGAGAAAGGCGATGGGGCGTCTGCGGGAAATGAGTGGATTTGAAAATGGGCAGGCCGACGGACATGTTACCAGAGCCCACGGCTGGGAAGATATGGCTCCTGAGCTGGACTCGGTGCTCGAACACATGAAAACCATATTGTCGAACCCATCTTTTGTTCCAATCGAGGAGGTGGTGGTACGAGAGGAAGAAATCAACCGGTTGAAGGAGGGCTGGGTGAAGATGGAGAGCAGGTGGACTGAGGCTGTTCACTTGATCGAGAGCTGGCGCAAGCGAATGGCTGCCAGCGGGCGACCTGTTTGCGATGAAGAACTGAAGATGGGTCTGCGACTGAGCCCTGTCCGTGTGAGAAACGTCGCCGAGACCAGACATGCAGGAAGGTTCGGGCTGTCTGCTGTAGCGGAGGAGCAGGAGGAAGAGCAGGGCGAGCCAGATGAGGTACAGGAGGTTTATCATGCGCAGCAGTCTCCAACCCCGTATCGGAATGGGGTGGTTGACCCAATGGAACAAGGCCAGGAAGATGTACATGCGGATGACCTGAGCGATGACGACCTGGAGGAGGATGACTTCTACGAGGACTACGACGAAGAGGAGCCAAACGTTGAGATCTTGCAACAATCAGTGGCGATGCCTTCTTGGAGGGAGGCCTCGCCAGATTCCCCGCCTATCCCAGAGCCGCCACGTCTCAGTCCCTTGAGGAATTCCCCATCAGCTGGGAATAGGGGGAATCCGGCCAAGAAGACCAGAGAAAAGCCGGGCGATTTCACCACCATCGCGGAAGAGAACACTTGGGATCTGGAACAAGAGCAAACGGGTCACCGTGATAAACGCGTGAAAAAGACACCGACCAAGGGCGAAGAGCAAGAAAAGCCACATCGATCTCCTGTACGAACGTCCTTGGACGACGCTCTGCTAGGAAAACTGGAAGAAGATGCGGCGCAGGAAAACAGTAACTCTACAGGCTCATCCTCGAGAGGATCGGACAGACAAGGAACGGAGAATCTCGCGGCGAAGACTCCTCGGCGTGGGATCTCACGGCTCCCTCTACCTCGAAACGCGGAAGCGGGCGCACAGCAAAGCCCGCTCACCATGGCGAATATTGCAGCCAAGCTAGCAGCATCAGAGAAGGAGGCCGATGCCGCCCGGGTTCGCGCAAAACTCAAGGCAGTCCGCGGTGCACGAGGAGTCCAGAGGCCGACATCCACCGTCCTTGAGACAAGCAGCTCCGAGAGTAAGAAGTCAGAGACAGAGAACATGGATCCGGTGAAACAGGATCCAGCAGCACAAGCTCCAAGACAGGAGCTCAAGGTTGAGAAGCGAGAGAGGAGGAAGAGCAAGGTTGCATCGAGACGGCGAAGCACGCTCAGTCCCTGGGAGTTGGAGACATTGATAACGGTACCTCCCTAGTGAGGGCGGGAGACGGCGCAGGAGTGTTTTCTTTTAATGTGTATATGTGCAAAAGGTTTGAAGCTATGGGTATTGTGTAACTGCAAGGAGCAAGTGCATGGCGAGTCAGTGCCTGGATATAATCTGGCGTTTCGAGTTTCTGGCGGCAGTATCTGAATCAGCGGGGTTCTTCATCATTTCACAAATCGAGGTTCACGTAACAATTCCAACATTGATTAAGTGAGGCCCTTCCGTAAAGAATTTTCTCCTACTGAAGAGCTATGATGCTCAAAAAAATATCCCTTGGTATGAATCCCAGCCGAATTTCGGATGTGCTGACGTCAGCACCAACCGCAACCATCATGATCAATTCCCGTGGGGAAGCATCTTGATCAGGAAATCTGGCAAGAGCGCAAACTCAGGAGCACCGCCAGGGCCATTTGGAGTTTCTCATACTCAACCAGGTCCCGAACGAATAATCCCATCGAAGAAGCGAAGCGGCAGATGCCATCATGAAGCCCATTATCGCTATCCCAGCGACCATAGCTCTGATCGTCAGGGCCAGGTCCAAGAACTCTCTAACACTCGCGGGGCAAATCGCCGCGACACTCACGGCAATCGCCCATGCGTATCACCCTTGGAACCTGCCATTCGCTCTTCTCTGCGTCTTCTTCCTCGCTGGAACGCGTGCCACTCATGTACGAGCATCCCCGCGCTCCCGAAGAAGCTGCTTGATTGCTAATCTACCAATCTCTAGGTCAAAGAAGATATCAAGGCGAAACTGACCTTGCACTCCAAGGGCTCTTCAGGCGGCGAGGGCCCTAGGACTCATATCCAAGGTATTGCTCCGATCGGTTGGCTCGGGAAGAGCTTCGATCCTGTAGTCTGTGGCTAACTATTACGTCTTTACTCCAGTCCTTGCCAACTCCCTCGTCGCGTCCATCCTCTCGATCGCACACGGATACCAGCTTCGCTCTCGACAAGCTGCCCTCGCAGACCAGAATGCCCCCACTCCTGTCGGGACCTTGTGCTACTCGTGGGGCGGCGACCTACTTGTGATCGGCATCATCGCCAACTACGCAGCCGTCGCTGCCGATACATTCAGCTCGGAGCTTGGCATTCTGTCCAAGGGAGAGCCTCGCCTGATCACGTCTTGGAACCTACGAAAGGTTCCTCGAGGCACAAACGGTGGAGTTAGCCTCGTGGGCCTGGTGGCGGGGCTTTTCGGGTCGATGATCATCGTCACCGCTACGGTTCTACTTTTGCCTATGTGCAATGAAGCTACAGAGGACGCTCCCGGTGGAGGCCGCCCTTGGCTTACGAACGAGCGCCGGGTCTTCATGGGCGGCATGGTGATCTGGGGACTCCTCGGCAGTGTTCTCGACTCCATCCTCGGCGGTCTCTTCCAGCAGTCTGTCAAGGACGTCCGGTCCGGCAAGATTGTTGAGGGCGAGGGTGGCCTCCGAGTTTTGGCTGGTACCGACTCTGACGAGGCATCTGCCAGGGCGGCCGCCAGGGAAGCCGTCTCCAAGGAAGCAGCCGCCAAGTCCGCCAAGAAGGCCCAGGCCGTGACAGTCGAGGATGAGGACGAGGATGAGACAGTCGACAAGTATAGCGCCAAGAACAAGCACCGCAAGCCCAGCTTCGGAGACGAGAGACCGTCGCGCGTGGTTGAGAACGGGTGGGATCTGCTTGACAACAACGACGTGAACTTCCTCATGGCCGTTATTATGAGCGTTGGTGCTATGGCCGGAGCCAGCTGGTATTGGGGAATTTCTATCCAGGACGCCTTAGTTGTCTGAGGGGTCCATATCCTGGAATGTTGGTTTTAAGAGTAGAATGTAATGATTTGATGTACATCGAAGAATAGACGAAACTACCACTCTTCCGCCCCAGTCAATTGTCGCTAGAAATCATAGTACACTACGTATTTTTGCTCATATCTACATACCTAATCTAATATACACCAGTGCCGCTCAGCACAGTCTGTTGGTGGAAGTCTTCTTGACAAAGCCAACCCACCTTCTCGAACCCCATTTCCAAGCAGCGACCAATGCAAATAGATGGACAAAAGTATCAGGAGTAAATGCTCAAGATATGCTCAAGATATGCCCAAGATCAATCGCGCCGTCCTTCACTTCGGATAAGCGTTCAAAGCTCTGCCCAACTAGGCAGCTCTACTTTGAATTGGAGCCGAACCACCTACCTCCCAGGACATATAGTATTGTCGCCACAATCGAAAGCGAAATCCAGAACAAGCTTGTTGCCGTGTATTTCTCTTCTGATCGGCCAGTTTTCGCCTTGTGTTCGCGTTCGAAACTGAACAGAAACCTCAAATGTGACGTCTCGGCTAGCGCTATAGGCGACAAAACCAAAGATCCAAGACTTCCAGTGCCGTTATATAATTTCGAATGCGTCGTTCAAGCTCTCTTTTGTCATTTAGAAACCGGGAGGGTAGTCAACTCGATCGGCTCTTGTTCAGGAGTGCCGCTAGAGGACCATCACCAACGAATTCAAATCGTATTGGGGAATTCTGCCTCCGCACGCCAATATGCTTGGTTAGGGCAAAATCCCAAACCGGCTCCGAATGTCCACTAATGTAAATTTTGGGCTCGTTCTAGTATCGTGGTGGTGTTCTTTCGCTTTCTCGCTAGGTGTGTAGAGCATCATCGTGACTGAAGGTGTCAGCGTCACCAGGAAGAAATTTCAAGCTTTACCTTCTGATACATGGCGATAACAAGCTTTTCTCGTGAAACCCAAGGACCGGGCTCCATACTGTTGCATTTCTCATTCCAAATTTATGGCGTTGAGCCTAGAGAAGTGTCTGTGGGGGGTTGGGCTTGCAAGAGTTTGTTGTGTACCTCGATGAGAGGGGCCAACTCAGATCTCGAGTCTTCAAATGATGCATTTGCCCAAGAGGAGGGGACGATTGCAATAGCATATTTGGATACGTTTTAATCTAACTATGATCTTAACAGTCAGTCTGGATTACAATTTTTCGTGTGGTTGTAAAGATGTCCTCCTACCTTCCATCCCACCAGTGGTGCACTTACTCAGCAGCCACTGAGCAAATCAACTGGGTGCATGCTTAGCATCTTAGCCTCTCTGGAATCAATTTCACACAAGAGACGAGCGGGATGAGAAATACGAAGAAGCTGCTAGTTAGCTTAAAGATGGTGGCATATTTCATGCTGCAACTGCCTCCTTTTCGGCATGTACTTCTTGCGTAGGGAGGCGGAAAGCCGCCGCTACATGAATTTGCCAACGACCTAGAGTCAGAATTCATGAACAAGCTAAACTTTCTACGAGCTCAAGGCTCACTCTTTCCCGATTATGCCCAATTACATATAACCTGTGCTCGAGTGTTCTGGCCCAGCCCCGTAGTGCCCCGTAGTGCAAGGAACTGCTCGCTTCCTCGCGATGGGCACCAGCTTATGCCCCAGAAGAGACCCGAATCAGCAGCAGTTACGTAGTGAGCTCTCTCTAGTGGAACATCCGGTCAAATCCCTAATTATGAACACTCGCCAAGCTTGCCTTCCCAGGAGATTGGGAATGATGGCTCGCTTCGCTTGGAGCTCAGGGGTCTCCACCAAACGGGACTAAAGTACGATGAGTTGTACCAGCAATGGTGACCAGGGCGTTGATTATGCTGAGTATGCCCAAGCCCCCTAGTACATCTGATTCCTCCACAGTCCTTCAATCTGCACAGTACTTGAGGCTATTCAAACCGACCCGGCATCGTCATTCAGGCTCCGGGGATATCCTCATCGAGGAAATCCCCAAACACCTAAAGCTGAAGAACCTTCCAGCCACCGAACATCCAAAAATTCCCCAATGGCCACATGAAATTGGTGGGCCGGTGGTTCACAAAATGCACGCTGGCAAGCTACGAGAATAGACACTTCCTCAGAGGGTTGAGCCCGGCTTGGCGCATTGCCAGACTGGCGCAACGGGGATGTTCATTGGCCGGAGCGCTAAAGGGTGGACTCCAACGTTCTAGGACCTCAACCGGCCACTCTCCAGGTCGGATATTACGCTTACAAGCAAGCTAACGAGGCCCGGCCAGGTCATCATAGTAATTCCCCTACTATAATTAACCCGGCCTGCTAGGGCGCGTTATGCCCCAACGGTGAAGATGCCCGTCTTTAGCGGGCTCGCGGGCCCTTGTCGGCTCGCTAGCTGCTGGAGATGGCAGAATGGCGCCTCTTTTGGAACTTTGAGCCGACTTGAATATCGACGCGGCTATTTTCAACCCGATCCAAGGGTATGCGTTCGTGAGATCGGAGAATAGCCTGAGTTATTCGACGCGTTCGTCGCAAATCGTACGCGTTGGAGGCTCTATTCGCGGGTCTTTGTATTTGTCGGAATTTCGAGGACATCTGAATGTAAGTCGTTTACCATACAATAGTTGGCATAATGCATGTGCAGTTGCGCTGTCCAAGACGATAGAGGCACCTACAATAAAAGTTTTGGTTTCGGGTCCCAATTGCTGCTCGAATGCGTCCTGGTAGCGACGAAATGTTTGTTTGTTTACATTTCATCCCAAAGTGAAGCTCTATCACGATCCTCAATTACCGCATTAGGAAAATAAGCACGTTGATAATCGTTCGTTAGGGCTGGTCTATTTTTGGCAGCCATCCATGGCCCCTCGGAGAAGGCCCCGTTCCACGGATGACGATTCTCTCCTTGGCAGCATTTTTTCCCCCGGGCGAATAAGCTATCACCTTGGCCCAACGGCGATGCAGCCCTGGAAGCCATCAGCAGAGCGCCGTGGGCAGGAGGTGCCTCCCATTTGAAGGCGGATGTGTTTTGGCTTCGTGATAGTATATAGATCTAGATGAGACGCGGGGAATTTGTTTGAAACGTGATGCATGACTACCACGCTCGCTTCTCGCCGTATGTTGTGAGGGGGGGGATTTACATTGTGTCATGTCATGCGTGCAGCATTCTGGCATGTACATCGTCATCAGCCCCAAGCAGCTGGCCCAACGTGGAATACCTTTCCCACGTAAAACAGTCTTCGTCTGGTAAGAGCAGCAGGCCCAGCTGGGCAGACTAAACCAACAGCCTCGAGAACCACACACACACACACACACACATACGCAGACATGCACGCCCGGGCGTTGCAGGCGGGAGGGAGGATGTGGTGATCTAACCGGCCGGCGTGCGGGTAGGACACGGATCCCAGCATGCAAGATCTAAACTTGTGTGTGCGATGACTATCTGTGTGTATATTGGGAAGCGAGCAAGGGTTCGCCCGCGAGCCTATCCATAAGGCAACGAGAGCCGGGATCTGAATATAGCACACCGTCATCGAGCTCCGTCCGTCTTCGAGGGCTGGTCGGGCTGCAAGCAGCCGTCGAGCGGCGGTCCCGCGGAGGTGGGAGGGTGGGCTAGGAGAGCTTGATGCAGGGACTCCGCCCGAGGGCCAGGCACGGGGAGGGTGTCGGTAAGGGCAAGGTAAGGCTCCTGCTCACCTCGACATTACTCTATTTCACTTACTCTCCCAGGCGTTGCCAAACCGGATGAGTGAATGACTGACTTACTAAAATGACATAGGTAATCTCGTGTGCCTTACTGCGAGGATGCCAAGGGGGTGTCGTCAATGCGAGGAAACGAGCCAATGGCAGCCCCGGGCGGGCAGCTGAGATAAAAATACTATTTATGTATTTTCTCCGCAACGGCATGGGAGAAGCTTAGCTAATGGTCGCTGTTTGGCGGGAAACCGGTACGTGTCCCCACTGATACGTCCTCCAAAGGTTCGCTAAGGCAGGTACCTGGCCTGGGTGCCAGTATCTTTAGCATCATTTAGGGCCGCAGCCACAGCCCCAACCGGGGCCGAGGGCTAAAAACTGCAGCCAATTGTCCCGATCAAGACAGCTCACCCGCATCCCGACCCCCATGCATCCTGCCTTATTTATCTCGCTCTAGCCGTCTCCGGGCTAGGCGAATGTCGTACCGGCCTGGTGGGTTCGGGTTCTTCCATGACCGTTTTGCTTTGTTGTGTTTCAAGCCTCTGGCAGACCTAGTTCGGACGGCGGTGAGGTAGTAAGTCGGTTACACCACAGGTGCGCGGGGTGTTGGTGCAGTATTACTGATACCGACGCTGAAGCTGGCCGTGATGACTGGATGCAGCCTCAGCAGATCGGACACCTTGTCTAACCCCCGGGTGCGACGCCTCTGCCTCCCGTCGCCCATCTCCCGTCCGCCAAAGGGAGAAAAGAGTTCTTACTCATGGATATTTACTATCTCTAAGTGTTCTATTTTTGCGCATCTTGAGATCTGGAGATCCATGCATAGCAGAACGTCCGATTCGGGCACACGTTAACAGAGGCCTCTGAGCCCAGGTCTGTCAACCAAATCCGCTAGTGCACACTCTTGAAAACACTCGAGAAAGGTTACAAACGTCACGACATCTTGAAAAAAAAATTTACACCTCATTTCTCCAGTTTGGAAAGGTTCAATCGGCTAGCATACCGGACTACGGGCCTTTCTCGACGCCTCAATTGAAGCCGGCACGGAGCTGCTGTGCCCCATCCTTCCCGGAGCTCTGGGGAGCAGCGCCTCCTACCAATTGGCTCGCAGTCAGCACCAGGATCTGCCTAAGCATATTAGTATGGAAATCTTACTTTTTTTTCCTGTACTAAAAACCTGAAACGATGCGGAAAAAATAGCTACCAACTAACAGGGTGGGACCAACACAATGGCAAGATCCCCAGATGAGCCCACACACCGCAAACACACCACCAACAGATGCACGGCAAACACACACCCCATCACATTATATCATATCACCGTTCGT